AACACACACACACACACACACACACACACACACACACACACACACACACACACACACAGATGCACACATGCACACATGCATAAACATGAGCACATCCATACACACGCATGCACGCACACACACACACTGAGGGACAGAGAGACAGGCAGAAGGAGAGGACATGGGAGAGTGAGGAGGTAGAAAAGGAGGAATTTGAAGGGTTGGAAGGGGGGGGAAGGACTGGACTAGGCATGCTCTAGCACTTGGTTGGAGGAAGGGGTCCAAGCGGTCTCTAAGGTTACCAGGCTACCAGCAACGTAGAGGAAGAAATTGTTAGGGCTTTGTAATCGCTGAAATCAATATCATACCAAAGGGCAATAGGTGCTCATCTCAAAGTCTTTCTGGATAGAACACACTGTCTGTTCCTTTGCTTTTTCTTAGCAGACTCAAGCAGAGAATCCAGAGATAACATAAACATGGAGGGCCAGGGACTCAGAGCATTTGTCTTGGTTGGTTCTCAGGATGAAGGGAGAGGCAGGGAATGAGCATTTTTATTTTTCTTTTTTTTTTTTGAATGAGCATTTTTTTGAGAGAAAGAGAAACCTTACAACATCCACGTAGCAGAGAACAACACGGAGGCGAAAACCTTTCTGGAGCTCGCGAATTCGATAATAAAGGTACTCCGGATGCAGCAGGTGGTAGCGCAAGCTGCTCACACACAACAAACGATATGCCATGTAGGATGATTTAGCAAATTAGCAGTATTGTTCAACTGTTGACCTCAATCATTCTCGGAGAACCAGCCAACGTCAGCATCAATGGCACAGTCTGCATCAGAGTCGCCGCATTTTCTTGCCACTCGAATACCCTTACAAGTGTATCCGCCCTGGTTTTTGCAAATGACAGAAAAAGAGTTTTGATTTGAAACTTGGGGGAGTGAAAGTTGAGTGTGTCGCGCAAACCGCGGCCAGCTTTCCTTTTTATGACCGACTGTATGTTTAGAGGAAAAATAGGGAGTGTGTGGGTGCGCAGTTTTGAAGGCGCGTGTGATTTCATTTTCATTCTTCTTGTCCATGATTACAAAGCCGGCACAGTTGCCGGTCAACTTCTTGTCTTTGATTCAATTCAAGACTAAGTATTTTTTTTCTTTTGATCAGTACGTTTGACTGTGGCGTGTGTGCGCGCGCGGAGGCGACAGTTCTATGACCAGTGTCAGGCCTGGCTACGGGAGATGCAATTTTTAAAATGACTATTATCGGTTTTATCTGAGAAGACATTGGAACTCGCATAGTAGCACCTTTTTGTATCTAACCACCAAATGAGAATCCTCCCGCAGTCTTGGTGAAGACGTGTGTGGACGGAGTTCAGCACGACGAGGGTCTGGGCATTCGCTAGCGAGATTTTAAGACGGCCTCGAAAGGAGCGTTTAAATTTTTATGGAGATCGGCTTCGACAGCGGTGCGGTCTTTGTATGGTAAACGGAGTGAGCGGTGGAGTAAAACACGGATCAGGCCTCCGTGCGGTAGATGCGGGAGCTTGGCGGCCGTGAGTTCGGTCGATGGACCAAAGTGTGACTTTGCTTCGCTTTTATCGTACTGAGTCAGAGAGTGAATACTCTTAACGTGGAAAACGGTGTTTGCTATATCCAGCCTTGGGCCAGACACTTTCTGTTACGGTGTCGGACTTCCACTTTGCAGGTTCAGGGATTGAGGCCAGCAAGTGGCAGCGAAGGAGCGATGGAGTGTCTCGAAGGAATCGAAGGGTTGAGGATCCGGTGGGACTGTCCCCCTCGGTTTTGTGCGAGTCCCGACCGTGGGCCAACTGGCGGGACCAAGGGGTTGCCAGCAATCCCCCCTCCCCCTAAGTGTCGATTTTCCCTTTTTCTTATTCTTTAATTTTAATTTATTTTTTGGTGTCGGTCCCGTTTCTGAGACAAGGGACTAGTGCGGGTACCTTTAAATTGTTGGAATATGGACCTGAGTTCGAATCCGAATAGAATCTGAGGACTGAAAATAACTCTGAATTTACCTGGGGCTAGCCGGTTCCACAACTGTGCCTCGGGGCTGTTGCCCCATCACGAGTCCTTCGGGACATCTGTTAAAATTGGAACGATACAGAGAAGACTGCTATGACCCCTGCATCTGGCTCCAGGGCTGGCCATGTAACCAACAAGCCTAGCACATTTGGTAAGCCCATGAACTGTTGAAATACGGACCAGAGTTCGAACTCCACTGGAAACAGACGAGTGAAATACTACGATTCTGAATTACCTAGGGCAGGTCAGTTCGATGATCGATGATAACATCTCAAGACCGCTGCCCTTGCTGAGTAAAGTAGGGCTCGCCTGCATCCGATAGCAGTCGGGGCTAGACGCATTCTGGATAGTGGTAGTGTGAGTAGGTCCTGAGCGGACGTAATTGTGCCCGACCCGCTGGCAGAAGCGGGTGGTCCGACAGGCTGTTGAGCGATCTTTCCTTCTTTTCCCTTTTTTGGTGCGTACGTAGCTATTGTCGAAATATCCGATGCACTGTGCTGTCGAGAGACGGGGAGGAAGGAGAGTTGACAGCAACGAGAAAGAAGAGACGAGCAGGGCAGGGCCAGAGGAAACTCTGGTGGAGGCTCGCAGCGATGCTAGCGTGTAAACCGTTCGTCGGACTTGGGTGCAGGGGCTGAACCTTGGACGGAAAGGAGCAATAGGCGCGCTTGGCGGAAGAAGGGAAGAACAATGGCGAAGGTAAACATGAGCACGGGTGGAGGAAGCCGTTGCGCGACCGTTTCTTAACGGAACGGGTTGAGGGAAGATTTATTCCCGGGGTTCTGGCCCCGGGCGAAGCGAATGACGGTGTTAGATTTTCATTTAGTAAAAGCTACGGGGAGTAAGAGTGCGAATGAAAGTTGAACTACTCGGCCATTTCTCGACCATTTTTTACGAACTGAGGTTGTGATGGTGGGCGAGTTAGACAGTGAAGTCGGATTTTGGAGCTAGTGGGTGGCTTCGGCAGTACGGGGGTTTGGAGCTGCGCCTGAGGGGAGAAGCGTCGCATGGGAGATGTATCTCTTCTAGTGGAAGATTCGTTCCGATTTTGCTCATCCCATCGATGAAAGTAGCCTCCCTCTATCTCTCTAAGCGCATGGATGGAAAGCAGTGTATATTTCTATGCTCTCTCTCTCTCTCTCTCTCTCTCTCTCTCTCTCTCTCTCTCTCTCTCTCTCTCTCTCTCTCTCTCTCTCTCTCTCTCTCTCTTCCGCACGTGCGCGGGGGGCGGCATTCACATTTGAATGTTCCTTAGTCCATACTCACACCAGGATTTCTTTTCAAAGTATTTGTCTGTCGCGGTGTATCTCCCTATGTTTCTAGCGGAAGATTCATTCTCAGTTTATACTATAGATAGTTGGTGGTCATGGCTGGCGAGTAATGCATTTGGCCGCCATCAGGTGGAAGGTGCACTTCCGGGTTGACTAGCATTGAGAAGGGGGAACGAGAGCACGCAAAAGTAGAGTTGGGCTCGAACGAGAGAAGAAGAAAGATAGGGAGATGGCATATGAAGAATGTGATGAAAAAGGAGCCAGATGCGATGTGAAAGAGAAGGGGAGGATTCACGCAGCGGCAACTACTTACCTCATGGGAGCTGAATGTTTGTTCTCACGAGTACACTCGGGGTGCGCTCCGAACAGGTTACGATCCCAATAGAGGTATATAAGAGAGAGGGAGAGATAGAGAGTGACCACTCACCTTGAAGTAGTGGTTATGCGGGGAGAACCAAGGGATCATGAGCTGCGGTCCCGAAGGGCTGACAAGGGAGGTGGCCGGACCTGGATAAGGGAGTGGGCCAGGTGCGGTAGAAGGAAAAATAATAAATAAATGGACTGCATCTTTCCTTGTTCTGGCAGAAGATTCCGTCGCATTCCCTGATGTTGCAGTCATAATGGTTGTTCCGTTGGGGTAGTCATCAAGGTCACACTGAGATATGTGCCATCATTCGTTGTGGTCACCACCAGCCCATTGTCGCTGCTCATCTCACTACTGACTGCCATGTCGTCTCCATCGGGCTGATGTGCCTGGCCGCCTCTCAGTAGAAAGTTCATTCTCATTTTGTGCATCGGGAGGTGCGGTTAGGACCAAAGCAACGACGGAGTTTGAAGAGAGAAGAATTGGAGGAAAAGTTGAGGTCACGGGTGACCCATGTGTTGATTTGAACAAGATGTTGTTGCTAATAAATTTGGGAGATCACAACCTTTCTTAACAGAACGGTCGATCGAGTTTCAGGACTGTTGTTGCGGTTGTTTTGGGGGGTTGCCATTGCGACTTGTAGATTCGTCCGATTGTCATTTATGTTGCGCTTGGCCGCAGTTTGGCCAATTTATCACATATTTGGCCGCTATTGCGGACCCCTCAAGCATGACCAGGTTTCAAGGCCCTCTACGCGAGTCTGAGTGCACCCTTCTCGGATCTGAGCGACTAAAATTTTTCTTTTTTTGCCCTTCTTACTCTCAGTCTGATTTACTGGTTCAGAGAGGATGGCGGCAGGTGGGATTGGAAACCCGTAACCCGCGCAAAAGCCTCTGTGGGAGGTTCGCCCCACCGATTGTGAGAGCTCTGCCAGAACTTAGGTGAGGTTCTGGAGGCAGAGAACCGTCAGGTAACTCCCCTTTACCCTGTGTGAGCCCACTATGCCCATACCACAACATCTCTTTAGTTTGTCTAAGAGGTATGCATGCGTTCCCCTATGATGTTTATTTCTTTTCATAATCCAATCAGATTAAGTGAAAGGAATGCACGCGTGAATCTCAACTTTGGGTTGTGGTTGAAATCGGACTAAGGGATGAATTGGGGGAAGGTGGGAGAAAGGTGGTTTTGCATACATCTGACTGGGTCAATCAAAAGGTTGGGCACTATTTTTAAGCAGAATGACTCAGTGCTATGTTTCTTTTGGGCGTTTTCTGAAGGACCCGACATTGTTTCTAAGAAGAATGGTCTCGTTACTATGTTTATTTTTTAGGGCTTGCCTGTCTGACTTTTCAGACCAAGCATTGTTTCTAAGCATAATGGTTTGGTCTATCTGTTTCTTTTTTGGTGTTTCTGACTGATATTGGACAAAATGGTCCGACTTCATGCTTTCGTGTGACTTGAGATAGGTTGAACATTGTTTCTAAGTTCAATGGTTCAGTTACTTGTTTCATTCTATCTGTTTCTTTTTTGGTGTTTTTGACTAATATTGGACAAAATGGTCTGACTTCATGCTTTCGTGTGACTTGAGATAGGCTGAACATTGTTTCTAAGCTAAATGGTTCAGTCACTTGTTTCATTTTGATGGAGAATTTTGGTGAAAGGGTAAGCATTGTTTCTAAGTAGAATGATTTAGCCTGAGGCTAAGCACATTAAGAGTACAGATGAGTCTACATTATAAGTATCTATCTATATTTGCATGTGAACAGGCAGTTGGACATTGTTTCTAAGCAGAATGGTTCAACTTAAGCCATATCACTAAGAAGAGAAGTAAAGTCAAAAGTTCAATTGGAAGTAAGTTGGGCAAGTTGAGCATTGTTTCTACGATGAATGGTTCAGTCCCCTACCCATATTTTAAAGACAAGTCTAAAAACTACTTGAACTTTGGATATTTAAACAGTTCAACGCAACTAGGTATTGTTTCTAAGCAGAATTGTGTAGTTGCATGCCCAAAGAAGAGAGAAGTAGTTATGCAACTTGT